GGTCTTCGTCATCGCGTCGTCCTCACTGCCGTGCTCGGCTCAGCAACAGCAAGGCAACAGCACCCGTTTATGTATGTTTCTTCATGTGTAGCCTTTCATGAGATCTTTAATTCGATGCTTTTTTTCGACATTTTTTACACCATTTCTGCATTATATCATATGTCAGTTTTGGCTCGATATTTCCTATTAAATCATATTCCTTCTTGAACTTCATGTTATAGTCATCGTATGGTCAGTATTACCAGAAAAAAATGTCTAAAATCCCAAATAGTTGTAGATTATTTAGCGTGAGTCGCTCTATCAAGTCTCGCAGCCCCTCCTAAGCCCTGTTCTGTTTTCTCGCTCCGCCCCTCGCGCGCTGCAGCCCATCATCCCGTACTCGTACCAGTACGAGACCAGCGACGCCGCCACCGGCAACTTCCACAACAAGGCCGAGCTGAAGACGGCTCTCGGCGACGTGTTCGGCTCCTGGTCCGTGCTCATGCCCGACGGCTTCATCTACACCACCTCCTACAACGTCACCGGAAACAGTGGCTTCCTTCCGGTCATCGTGAAGACGCTCCCTCAAGCCTCCGCCGGCGCGGCCTCAGCAGCCGCCGCTGGAGGCTCTTCGGCCTAAATGCAGGTTGTCTTAGCGAGCCTTGGCCTTCGCGGCGACCCGCGTCCTAAGTCATTGCGGTTCTTGTGCTCCTTCGCTCTTCTTCGTCTCCTTCTCCGGTTCTCACGTCGGCGCTAAATTTGCTCTGCATTTCCCAAAGAAATCTAATCGCCTTTTATCAATCAAAGATGACAGAATGATACAGGAGAAAGGGGGAGAGGAGAAGGGCGAATGGCAGAGAATCACAAATTCTCTTGTAAATACCTCTTCCGAAATGTGATTCTGCGTTACTTATTTTATTAATTTAATTTATTTTTTTTCTTTATTCGAATGTTTGTTGTGTATTTCTTTAAATGTATTTATATTGTTTGCAAATGATAGATATCCGGATATGTTTTTTTTGCTTATTGCATATGAATATTGTGTTGTTTTATAAGATGCTCCTTATATTTTATACCGAATAAATGTTACATATGGTACCTGTTCAACATTTCTTTTCTACCTATGCAAATTAGTTTGAATGGCTAAATAAGTGAATACATGCATAAAAAACTAATAGATAAATAAAATATGTATATATATATATGAACACACAATACACACACGCGCGCCCACACACATATATAAATGTATATATAGTCCCCGGAGGGCGAAGGAGTCCCTAGTTACGGCGGGGATCTGAATCACTACGGAGAAAGGGAGCTAAAATTTCAGTTAGAGACAGGCCGCCCCATGTTGATGACCCTTTGCACATATAACATAAGGACTGAGGACTGAATGCGACTTAAGGAACAATCAGCAAATGGGACGTTGTATGGTTCTGTGGAGTTAGAAAAACAGAAAATACAAAATGATGGGCACATGATCTTTTGGAGAGGCAGACTCCAGTGCAGCAAATTAGGGGTATGTTTCCTAATTCACAAACAGAAAAGAAAATCGTGGAATTCTATAGTACAAGCGAAAGAGTGGTTTCAGTAATGATAAACCTGAACAAATGAACCTACGCCATAGTGATGAAGAAAAAGAGAGTTTCTATGAAGTGCATCATCACAATAATGATGGGAGATTTTAATGCCCAGATAGGTAAAAAGAGAAAGAAAAACCGTAGCTGGGAATCACGGAATAAGCACCAGGAATGAGAGGGAACAAATGATAATTGATTTTGCCGAGCATCGACCACACAATATCTTAAACACTTTTTCGAAAGACCGGAAGCGGACATGGAAGTCGCCACCTGACATGAAAACGAAGTTTTCATAATTTCAAATAGGCGCAATATATAAAATGTAATCGTTATCAATAAAGTGAATGCTGGAAGCGACCACAGAATGGTCAGGGGTGGAATTAAATCACACCTCAGACAGAAAGGGAATAAACTGACGAAAACTTGGAGACCAGGGCGAAAGAATGACTATAAAAGACTATAAATAAAAATGAAGACGAAGGATGTAAGGATAATCACAACTCAAAAAACAATGAAACAGATTTCAGGGACAAGCAAGAAAACAGCTGGCAGGAGACGGTATGGGGAGAAATCAAATGTAAGCAAAAAAGAAACCAGACGGTGAAGTGATATATATAAAAAAATGAAATAATTAAAGCAGTAAAAGAATTTTCTTGGGATTTATACAACCCAAATGAACAGCCACGAACAACAGTAAACGCGGTAATTAGAGGCGGACCTAACAATACATCAAGAAAAATAGAAAGAGCACTTAAAGGCATAGAGAGAGGGAAAACACCAGAAGACGGAATTAGGAAAGACTTGATAATGGATGCAGGAGAAATTGCAACACTGAAACTGGCCAATACCATTTCGGTAAAACTGTTTAGATCTTGCCTTGAAGAAATATTCAAGAAATGATGGACTGGAAAGAGTATCAAAATAAAGGACGAACACCTTGGCAATCTAAGATTTGCAGACGATACTGTTCTCTTTTTCTGAGTCAGCAAATGAACCGCAGAAATTGATAAACGATCTGAAAAGAGAAAGTCTGAAAGTTGGACTAAAGATGAACAGAGGAAAAACTAAGGTCATGTTCAAGAGTAGAGTTCAGTTAGAACTGATACATGTACAAGGCGAAATGCTAGAGGTAGTGCGAATATTTATCTAGGGCAATTCATACAAACACATCCAGTGGAGAGGCAAGAAAGCGACGCATCAGTCTAGGCTGGAGCGTCTTCGGTAGACACAGTAGCATACTAAGAGGTTCTTTGCCATGATGTTCAAAAAAGTCTTTAACCAGTGATTCCTCCCAGTCATTAGATATGAATCAGAAACATGACCTACAACCAAATTGCTGGAGAGGAAACTAGTAAGAGAGAGGAATGGAAAGGTTGATGCTTGGAATTAGCCAAAGGGAGGGCTGAGGGCGACGTGGATCAGGGGACAGACCAAGGTGGAAAATACACTTGGCACATTAAAAAAAAAAAAGAAGAAAATGACAATGGGCAGGTATAAATGCAGGATACAGGACGACAGATGGACAAAGAAAATAACAGACTATGATATAGATAACATAAGAAAGCCAAGGGCCAGACCAATGACAAGATGGCGTGACGAAATAACGGAATTTGGGGACCAAGAATGGTAACAAAAAACTCCAGACAGAAACGGGTGGAAGAGATTAGGAGAGGCCTACATCCTGCAGTGGACTGGTACAAGCGGATGATGATCACACACACACACACAAATATACATATACATACATACACACACATTTATATGTTTATATATATCTATATGCTTATAAACACACACACACACAAACACACACACACACACACACACACACACACACACACACACACACACATATATATATATATATATATATATATATATATATATATATATATATATATATATATATAATACACTTATATACATACATATATATATTTTTATACATATACATGTGGTGTGTGGTGTGTGTGTAGAATTAAACTGTAATAAACAGTTTTTATAACTGATATAAGAATCATTGGAATACCACCAACATAACACCGATTACAAAAATGAAAGATGGGATAGTCATAAACATCTGTCTTGGGAAAGCCTGCATGGTGATTTAATAAATCTTAACCTTTCGCTACGGCTAGATCAAATGTGGTTCGATCGGCCACATCTGATCTATGGCTTCTTCATTAATGCTGGCTGTTTCATTTGTTTATGCCGTTATATGAATATACTTGTCGTGAACAGTACATTGACAATTAGCGTTGTAAACATGGTCTTATTGGATGTCTGTAGGTAAATATTGACGTCAAGGTAATACGATATCAATAGCGTGGGCATTCGCACACGCGGAGGGCCTGTTTCTCCCTCCCTCTCTCTCTCCACACACTCATATATATATATATATATATATATATATATATATATATATATATATATATATATATATATACACACACACACACACACACACACACACACACACACACACACACACACACACACACACACACACACACACACACACACACATATATATATATATATATATATATATTATATATATATATATATATCAGTGAGTGTGTGTTTGTATGTGAGTATGTGTGTGTGTGTATGTGTGCGTGCGTGTGTGTATGCGTGTATGTTTATGTTTGTGTGTACTATTATTAGTAGTACATTACTGTCATAATGGCAATGATCAATAATCTAACCATCATATTAGTTTTTATTTTACCATCATTGAGATCGGCGTAATTTTTACAGAGAATAAAATCAGTAGAAAACCAACCCTTCGAAGGCATGAAACGCTTGATCATAAACCAGAGAAGCGTTGCTGGTCGTAGATGTTAACGTAATAAGGTCGAATCAGGGAATAACGGAGTTCTCCATTAATGGTTCCAGTTCCCTCTCTCTTCGTTTTCCTTATTCTTTGCAACTTTGCAACTATCCATGCGCTCCTCCTCTCCATTATCCTCACACCTTTCTCCTCTCATTTCTCTCTTTCTGTCCTAGCTTCTTTTTTCCTATCTCCCTTCTCTTTCTCTGCCTCTTTCCTACTTTTCAAAATTTCCTTTCTCTCTCTCCCACCTTCTTTTCCCCTCTTCTCTCTCTGCTACCTTCTATTCCCCTCCCTTTCTCTCTCTTCTAACTTCCCCTTCTTGTCCTTCTCCCCCCTCGTCTCTTTCCCATCTTTTCTCCTTCCTGCTTTCCCCTCCTAGTACTCCTCCTCTCTTTCTTCAACCTTTCTTCTCTCCTTTCCCTTCTGCATCCCGCCCCACCTTCTCAACTACCTTCCCCCCACATTCTCCTCCCACCTCCCTTTTCTCCCCGTCCGGACGCCCCGCTCTCTTTGTGTGACCAAGAACGCCGCCGCTGACCTTCTTGGCCAACGTATATATATAAGGTCGCGCTGTAGTCTGGCCATTCCACTCCCCTTCCTCCTGTGCCGCCGCCAACCACGGTCCCTTAAGACAACCGAAAATGAAAGTATGTTTGAACTAACGCCATGGAGTGTTCCTGAAATGTGTTTGTGTATACCCTTGAGGATTTACCACTTCTGTCTGGATTAACGCAACTCGTGGGTAAAGAGAAAAGTATAGGTTAACCAGATCTTTGGTTGAAAAAATGTTGCATAATATGTTGGCTTAATTTGCCTTTTCAGGTCTTCGTCATCGCCGTCGTCCTCACTGCCGTGCTCGGGGCTCCTCGGCCTCAGCAACAGCAGGCAACAGCACCCGTTTATGTACGTGACATTGGTTTCTGTTGAGCCAACCTTCTAACAGCAACATGTTTCTTGATTGGGTGTTTTTGTCTTTAATTTTTCTAAGCATCCTTTACACTATCTCTGCATTACATTACGTGTAAGATTTAGCTTGATCTCTCCTAATAAAACCTATTCTTCCTTAAACTTCCGGCTCATCTCATAACCGTCCCATTTTCAGTATCGCCTGAAAAATATGTCTAAAATCCCAAATAGTTGTAGGTTACTGAGCGTGACCCGCTCTACCAAGTCTCGCAGCCCCTCCTAAGCCCTGTTCTGTTCTCTCGCTCCGCCCCTCGCGCGCTGCAGCCCATCATCCCGTACTCGTACCAGTACGAGACCAGCGACGCCGCCACCGGCAACTTCCACAACAAGGCCGAGCTGAAGACGGCTCTCGGCGACGTGTTCGGCTCCTGGTCCGTGCTCATGCCCGACGGCTTCATCTACACCACCTCCTACAACGTCACCGGAAACAGCGGCTTCCTTCCGGTCATCGTGAAGACGCTCCCTCAAGCCTCCGCCGGCGCGGCCTCAGCAGCCGCCGCTGGAGGCTCTTCGGCCTAAATGCAGGTTGTCTTAGCGAGCCTTGGCCTTCGCGGCGACCCGCGTCCTAAGTCATTGCGGTTCTTGTGCTCCTTCGCTCTTCTTCGTCTCCTTCTCCGGTTCTCACGTCGGCGCTAAATTTACTCAAATCAAATCGCCTTTTATCAATCAAAGAAGACAAGAACCACAAATTTTCTTGTAAATACCTCTTCCGAAATGTGACTCTGCGTTGCTTGTCATTTTTTTTTTTTTTTAATGCTTGTTGTTTTACTGTTTAATTGTATTTATGTGTGTTGTTTGCAAATGATATATATCCGGATATGTTTTTTTGTTTATTGCATATGAATATTGTGTTGTTCTATAAGATGCTCTTTATATTTTATACCGAATAAATGTTATATATGGTACCTATTCAACATTTCTTTTGTACCTGTGTAAATTAGTTTAAATGGCTAAATAAGTGAATACATGAATAAAAAGATTAATAGATAAATCAAATATGAATATATATATATATATATATATATATATATATATATATATATATATATATATATATATATATATATATGAACACACATGTATACATAATCCCCGGAAGCGAAGGAATCTCTGATTACGGCGGGGATAAGGATCACTACGGAGAGAGGGTACTAAATTTCTGGTTAAAGACAGGCTGCCCACGATGAGTCTTTACATATATAGCATAAGGACTGAGGACTGAATGCGACTTAAGGAACACTCAGTAAATGGGACGTTGTATGATTCTGTGGAGTTAGAAGACTTTGCGAAAAACAGAAAATACAAAATGATGGGCTGGTGCTCTTTTGGAGACGGAAACCCCAGGGCAGCGAATTAGGGGTAGGTTTCCTAGTCCACAAACGTTTAGAAAAGAATATCGTGGAATTCTATAGTGCAAACGAAAGAGTGGTTTCAGTAATGATAAAACTGAACAAATGAACTTAAAAATTGTTCAAATTTATTTACCAACCTATGCCATACTGATGAAGAAAAAGAGAGCTTCTATGAAGAAGTGCATCATCACAATAATGATGGGAGATTTTAATGTATAGATAGGTAAAAAGAGAAAGAAAAACCGTTGCTGGGAATCACAGAATAAGCACCAGGAATGAGAGGGAACAATCGATTTTCCTGAGGATCAACCACACGATATCACGCACACACACAAAATAGGCGCATGGTAAAAAATGTATACCTATCAATAAAGTGAATGCTGGAAGTGACCATAGAATGGTCAAAGGCGAAATTAAATCGCACCTCAGACGGGAAAGGGGTAAACTCGGACGAAAACTTGAAGACCAGGACGAAAGAATGACTAAGGTCATGTTCAACAGTACAGTTCAGTTAGAACAGATGCATGTACAAGGCGAAGTGTTAGAGGTAGTGGGCGAATATATATATCTATGGCAATTCATACAAACACATCCAGAGGAGAGGCAAGAAAGCGACGCATCAGTCTAAGCTGGAGCGCTTTCGGCAGACACAGTAGTATACTAAGAGGTTCCTTGCCATAATTTTTGAAAATCAAAGTCTTTAACCAGTGCTTCCTCCCAATCATGTAATATGAATAAAAAACATGGGCTACAACCAAATTGCTGGAGAGGAAACTAGTAAGTGCCCAGAGAGGAATGGAAAGGTTGATGCTTGGAATTAGCCAAAGGGAGGGCTGAGGGCGACGTGGATCAGGGACAGACCAAGGTGGAAAATATATTTGACAACATTAAAAAGGAGAAAATAGCAACGGGAAGGTCATATATGCAGAATACAGGACGACAGATGGACAAAGAAAATAACAGACTGGGATATACATAACATAAGAAAGCCAAGGGCCAGACCAATGACAAGATGGCGTGACGAAATAACGGAATTTGGGGACCAAGAATGGTAACAAAAACTCCAGACAGAAGCGGGTGGAAGAGATTAGGAGAGGCCTACATCCTGCAGTGAACTGGTACAAGTGGATGATGATCACACACACACACATACACATACACACACACACACGCGCGCGCACAAATATACATATACATACATGCACCACACATTTATATGATTATATGTTTATATATTCATATGCTTATAAACACACACACACACACACAAACACAAACACACACACACACGCACGCACACGCACACACACACTCACTCACACACACTCACTCACATATACACATACAGACACATATTTCAATTCGGACAGAACTCCATATCGACTTAACCCGAATTTTTAGTCTAGATTGGATCACTTTTTTTCGTTCTCGGATCTAGATTCATATATTTGCTTTTCACTGAATATTGATCTTTACGACAAATGCAGAAAAAAATATGAATGGGGATACATTTTCAGAGTAATGTGTTTGGATGGTTTCGAGGAATATACAACCGAAATTGTCAAATACATAACTGTGAAAATATTCATTCTCTCAATCAAACATTTTTTATTCATTACATTTCATTCTAACATTGTTTTTGTTTGCATTCTTTAACTAGAACTTGATCAAGAGTAATGAAAAAATAAGAAATAGAGGATAAAAAGCTGTAAGACAACCTATATTATATATCAGGTTAATCTCATCGTCATATATATTTTCTCAAAACTAGTTATACTTCAAAAATCGTTGGCAAAAATATTTACATTTCCAAAGCACCAAGTATACCTTCGACTAGCATCATAATATATCCACTATATTTTCATGTTTTACAGACACTGATGTTTTCCTTGAACTCCCGAATTCCCAAACGAGCAATAGAGAAAACAGTCATTACTTAGGCAATTGTCCTCTGTCCGTTCCCTTCTTTCTCTCACTCTCTCTTATCTTTCCTTCCTCCTCCCTTCTCATCTGCATCTTCCTACACCCCCCTCTTCTCTCTATCCATGCGCTCCTCGTATCCAACTTTATCTCTCACATCTTTCTCCTGTCATTTCTCTCTTTCTGTCCTAGCTTCTTCTTTCCTACCCCTCTCTTTCTCTGCCTCTTTCCTACTTTTCAGAATTTCCCTTCTTTCCTACTTTTCCCCCCTTTTCCTTCTCTCTGTGCTAACTTCTTTTCCCCGTCCTCCTTCTCTCTCACACACCCTCTCTTTTCTAACTTCCCCTTCTTATCATTCTCCTCCCACCACCCGTCTATTTCCCATCTTTTCTCTTTGTCCTTCTTTCTCCCACCCTCTCTCTCTCCTGCTTTCCCCTCCTAGTCCTCCTCCTCTCTTTCTTCTACCTTCTTCTCTCCCTTCCCTTTTCCATCCCATCCCACTTTCTTAACTACCTTCCCCCACATTCTCCTCCCACCTCCCTTTTCTCCCCGCCGGCACGCCGCCTCTTCGTCTGACTAGAACGCCGCCGCTGACCTTCTTGGCCAACGTATATATATAAGGTCGCGCTGTAGTCTGGCCATTCCACTCCCTCCCTCGTCCTCCTGTGCCGCCGCCAACCTCGGTCCCTTAAGACAACCGAAAATGAAAGTATGTTTGAACTAACGCCATGCTGTGTTCCTGAAATGTTTACCCTTGAGGATTAACCACTTCTGTTTGGATTAATGCATCTCGTGGGTGAAGTGAAATGTATAGGTTGACTAGATCTTTAGGTTGGAAAATCTTCATTATTTTGCATAATATGTTGGCTAAATTTGCCTTTTCAGGTCTTCGTCATCGCCGTCGTCCTCACTGCCGTGCTCGGGGCTCCTCGGCCTCAGCAACAGCAGGCAACAGCACCCGTTTATGTACGTGACATTGGTTTCTGTTTAGTCAACTTTCTAACAGCAACATGTTTTTTTATTAGATGTTTTTGTCTGTCATTTTTCTAGGCATCCGATACACTATTTCCGCATCATATCAAGTGTCAGATTTAGCTTGATCTTTCTTGATAAAACCTATTCTTCCGTAAACTTCCGGCTCATCTCATACCGTCCCGTTTTTAGTACTGCCTGAGATAAATTCTAAAATCCCAAATAGCTGTAGGTTATTTAGCGTGAGCCGCTCTACCAAGTCTCGCAGCCCCTCCTAAGCCCTGTTCTGTTCTCTCGCTCCGCCCCTCGCGCGCTGCAGCCCATCATCCCGTACTCGTACCAGTACGAAACCAGCGACGCCGCCACCGGCAACTTCCACAACAAGGCCGAGC